GCAAAAGGAAGGTGCCTCTCTCTTGGCGCATGCCCTTTTGGAACAGTAGAGTGTGAACTAGCAGAACAAAGCTTTTTCACACGCAAGTGAAGTTCGAGGATATGCGGTTGGGACTGCCGAATGCCTTCAGCATAGTACTGCTGCTGACTTATGGAGTCTGCCGAGATTGTAGGATCTTGTTGCAACAGGAAAACAAACCAAATTTTCACCCTAGCAGCAGCTACTCTTTTGCAGCACGAGGATAAACTATGCATTTATTCTTCTCATAAAACATACGGAAGCACATGCACCCCTGTTGATGCAAAGGACAACGTGATATGCGCAAAAGATTCGCGTTTCTTCTCCTAGGAACATTATGTAGTCCTCATGTCCACCAACAGCTTTGCATGGTGCCGTCTGGTCATCGGCATATTCCACACACGACGTACCCATATTTCGCTGGCGGACGTCTCGGTGTGTCTGCGCCACGCAAAGTCTCAAAGTGCTTGGGGCGGCCGTGAATCGTGAATGTTTTTGTAGACACGGTAACGAACTGGCCATGCCGCTGCACGGTGCTACATTGCCGTTCGCCCCGAGGCTCGAGAGAGATGCAGCTTCCTGCAAGCTGTCGAAAACGAGGCTCACAAACGAACCAGGAGTAAGTCCCACGAAGAAAAGGGCAAGGGCACTGAGGCGAAACAGGAATTTCAAGAAAAGTGACCTGCTTAGGAAAGGGCTTGAAATTGTCACTGGATGATCCCCAATCGGAGTCTAGCTCTGCAAGCTCCTGACAGGGCCAGCACTCGCTTAAAGACTTTGTCGGCGCCCTGCTGCACCGCGAACCTCTGCAGTGAAGCTGCGATCACTGAACTCGAGCTCCAATAGCTCTTCCTGGGCTGCCAAGACGTGCTCACCTCCCTGCGCCCGCGCTGCTGCAAAATGCCTCCTTGTACGGCTGTCCCTTTCGAGTGCCCTTGTGATCAACTCCTGGGCGGGCGGGTTCCATGCACTGCGTGCGCCAAAATGCAGGAAGGCACTGACAACTGAGTGCACCGCGCTGCTTCTGCACGTTCTTGGTGATGTTAAAACGTTCCGTTCCGAAGGCATCCCACACACCTGTGGGTAGCCCCACAGAGTCTTCCAAAAACCAAATCCCCTATGCAGCTAGCCAGCGACAATCTGCTTCTATGAAGTCAACACCGCAATCATCTGGCAGGCAGTTGACTTGGCGTGTTGTACACGCAACAGAATTGCTTCCTCATGCTACCTTCATGGCGCTAAGCCGCTGCCGCTGTCCCAACCACCGTCTCAATTCACAGAGTAATGCTTGCACACTTTCTCTCGCTAGCCGCTACTCTCAGAGCCGTTCGAGCACCAGACACTTGCCATCCACCGGCCTACTGTCAAGTGGCTGCAGTCGACGTCCAGCATCGTCACATCAAAGTTGATGGTCAGCAACTCGTCCTGGCAAAGTTCGTGTGTCGTCAGTGTCAGGTCATCACCATGTTGACCGTGCCTGGTTGCTGTCAACAACCTTGCCACATCTTCCGAGCAGAATTCCGCTAACCAAAAAGACAGCGTAACCAGATTCGCCAGGCTCTGATTCAAGCAAGCAACGATCCGAGAGGTCGGAGCATCCGTCAGGAAAGCAGATGTCTGGACACAGCCGCTGCAATGCTGTGACTGCGAACTGAGCAAACTTCCCTTACCTCGCAACAGAAGAGAACGACACAGGTGATCATCGCCAGCAGGGTCATGCTGGCTCCGATTGTTGTGGCCTCAGAAGCTGCAAAGTCAAAACGCACACGCAACGCGCACGCAACGCACGCAGAAGCTGGCCCTGGCCTCAGAAAGATCCGCTGGTACCTCACAAGGCCGAAACCGCGTCACATGATACAATTACAATGTTACCATCGTGCATGTTATGACAAATCTGAAACGACGCAGCCTTTCGGAAGGCATCATAGCCATGATACCACGCCCTGAGTTGCAGTATTGACGGTCTCATCCCGCACTTCTGAACTCTGCTAGTAGGTCATCGGGGGCGCAGCTTGCTCGCGATTTGCGGCAGCATGTCAATCAAAGGACGGCGTGTATCTGTCAGCCAAAACCGGCAACTATGCAATGGATGTGGAGATGCTGCATGATGCTGCCTTATCTGGATGTTCTGTGAATGCAAAGCATTCAGCTCTCCTTGGTGCCAGGGTAAAGCCCATGCACTCACACCCTGACTCGCCGCTCCGCTCTGCAGGCCTGCCTCAGGCCAGGCGAGCGGCGCTGCTACGCAGCTCCAAGCAGCTCACTCTAGGCTCTAGGGGCAGCTCGCTGTCAGCACTCCTGCGTGGGGCCTGCTCAGACTTTGCAGCTGCCTTTCGCTTCGAAATGCCTGCAGCACTGGCTGCTTCTGTCCCCGCTGTTCCCAGGAGCTGGCGCCTTGTATTTTATCGTCCCATGCTCTTGGCTCTTGAACTTGAGCCATTGTCTCACACAGTGGGACAGGTTCGCGGCTCGAGCTAGCTGCCCACCTATCTGTGCCAACGGTATGCAGCTTCGACATACCCGAATTATTTTCGCGCAGCAGAAAATTTCACACGCAGCCGGGGCAGGCTGCGTTACACGGGCAGCTCTTCTGCTCAGCCGATGAAAAACGTGCACTTCAAACGGCACGTACATTCCTCTGACCTCCAACGCCTCAAACATCATAGTCTTGAGACATGATCGCTTGGTGCACAAGACAGACCGTGGCCGCTGCCAGAGAGTCGTCGCTGTCAGTCTTCACCTCATAGACTGCAGGCCATCCAACATTTCATCGTCCATTCATGCCGGTGGCCCGCTGGTGTCGGAGTCCGCGAGGTTCCACTCGAAGTTCCTGGCTCCGACAGGACACACTGTGGACACTTAAACGAGTTTACTAGTAGATGTAGTTCTGGGGTTCTGACGAGCGCTTCAGGTCAGCGAGCTTTAGACGGCTGCCCTCGCAGCGACTCAACGGTGACCTGTCTGCTAACCCTCTGGAGATTCTGCGACCTGCAGCAAACCCATATCCCTGTAGTAGGGAGAATGCCCTGCCGGCAGGCAGTCGTAGGTCTGCATGGCCTGAAGCATAGCAAACACCAGAAAACCTACGCTGGCTCCACGCAGCGGGGCCTCGTCAAAACCTCATCGCAACAAGACGTGACATCAGCAACTCTCTACTGGTAGTTCGGCGCCAGACTCTGAAACCATGTGTGATCATTAGCTTCGCTTGCTGTCAGCCTGCACCATCTAAGCATGCTCAACACATTGCACCAAAGATCCTCCGGCGACTTTGCAGTGGTAGAACACTTGCCTTTGGCCCGCATTGATGCTCAACAATCCTCGCACTAAACTCCTGGCACCCAGAGGAGCCTGCAACATCACATTGCATGCTGCGAAACCTGCACTGGGAGCAGACATGACCTACCTGCCGCCAATGCTCACCACGAAACAAACACTCGCCATTGAGAACCTAGGTGACATCAGAACGTACAAACTAGCCAACCTTGACACTCATGTGCATGCTCGTGTGTGTGTGTGTGTGTGTGTGTCTCTGTGTCTCTCTGTGT